CCATGGTGAGGAACATGTCCAACTCATTGCAACACCCCCAGTGAACAGCACAGCAGCTGGCAGGGCTCAATATGCCCAATAAATGCCTGGTAAAGAGAAGACACACAGTCACTATTTGTTTTCCTATAATGATATAGAATACAATATCAGGGACAAAATTGGACTGTGCAGTGCTCAAGGCCAATACCATGAAGGCCACCTTCTCCACCAGTCCTATAATCTTAGCCATGGTCCATCAGTGCTGATTTGCATGCCTCTGGTGATAGGGAGCTCACTCACCTGTACACAAAGCTCTCACCTGGAAGGACCATTCTAACTGGAGATGACATCCTCTATGACCAGCTCAAGGCAGCCTCCTATAACTGCAGCACTCTGCTCCCAGCCATGGCTTGGAAGCCACATAGAATAATCCTACTACCTGTCCTGCAGGACAGGCCTTCAGAGACCTGAAGTGTGTGTGTCATGACCTTGTGATCTTGGTCCTGTGAGAATTTTCTCCTCCAGGCTAATCATGTTTAAATGGCTATATGACAGGACTCCCAGCCCCTCTTCAATATCCTCAGTTAGCTGTCCTTATCACTGCCACTTAATAAAGAAAGCCCACGGTCCATGCAGCTCTGACAGTTCTGAAGCGGCTCATGGAAACCCAAGGCCATCATCCAGTTCCCTTCCAAACTCACTCACTCAGCACTTCACAATCCCAAGCTCCCAGGAGAGTGGGGAAGAAGACAGCAAGGACAGAACAAGAGGTAGCAGGTGTCTGTGCTGACAAGAATGTTAGGGCAGTGCTGGGAAACTGACTTACCGCAGATAGTCGGGGTCAGAAATCTGGAGCCCCTCCCTCCCTCAGGATTCACCACTAAAGAATGGGGTGAGCTTCAGCCTCAGTTTCCCTCTATGAGGGATAAGGAGGCTAGACTCGCAATCTCTTAGGATGTTCCCAAGTCTGACAATTGACACTATGTTGATGTCTTCTGCAACCTCTCTACTGGAACTGGGTGTTTTCTTGTAATGCATGCATTCCTGAGAACATGGCCCAATGGGCCCAAGGACTATTAGATAAAAAAAAATAAGAGTTTAAATGTATTAAAAAGGAATCGTACATCTTTGTTAGAGTTTGCCAATCTGCCCAGCTGCATTACTGGTGGATCTCACTATACTCAAGGGAACTGCTACAGAAATTGTCAGAATGATAAATTTTAATCAGCACTACTCAAAGTAGGCAGTCCACAAACACCTTCCCACTAACATATGGCACAACGAGTAGAGAAATGGTGAGGCAGCACTCAGAAACTTGTAGAGGACCCTTCTCTGTCACTGCTGCGCCATTCTCGAGGTGTTTTGTTTTTATGTCATTTCATTTTTGTTGTCTGTTACTTACAAAGGTATTTTTTTATTATTATTATTATTTTATTTGGGCATATTATGGGAGTACAAATTTTAAGGTTTCAAAAAATGCCCTTTCCCTTCCTCCCCCTCACAAGTCTGACTTTCCAGCGTGACCATCCCCCAGATGGTGCACATCTCATTATGTATGTATATATCCTCCCCCTCCCCCCTGCCCAATACCCTATTACTGTAGTACCTATGTGTCCACTTAGGTGCTGCTCAGTTAATACCAGTTTGCTGGGGAGTATATGTGGTGCTTGTTTTTCCATTCTTGGGATACTTCACTTAGTAGTATGGGTTCCAGCTCTAACCAGGAAAATATAAGATTGCTATATCACCGTTATTTCTTAGAGCTGAATAGTACTCCATGGTATACATATACCACATTAAGGTATTGTTTTATAACGTACAGGAAGAAACAGAACTGGCCTTCACAGTAGATTGGGAAGTAGTGATTTCACAACTGTTAAGAAAGAAAGAGGGAGAGATAGAGGTAGAAATAGAGATGAAAGATAAGAGATGAGGAAGAGAGAGGGAGAGCAAGAGAGAACTGGCTGACAATTAAGTTCAGCTTTTTATTAAAAATCACCAAAACAATATTAATTAATTTCCACTGCTTCTGATATTCCTTCTTTCCTTCCTTCCTTCCTTCCTTCCTTCCTTCCTTCCTTCCTTCCCTCCTTCCTTCCCTCCCTCCTTCCTTGCTTCCTTTCCTCCCTCCCTCCCTCCCTCCCTCCTTCCTTCCATCCCTTCCTCCCCTTCTCTCTGTCCCTCCCTTCCCTCCTTTTCCCTCCCTTTCTCCCTGCTTTGTTTAAAGTCACAAAGCAAACATTTCTCTGCAACCTTCCACAGGTTTCTGTGCACCCAGGAGAGCTGATTCTGCCAGAGCCTAGTAACCTCCCGCCTCATCGGGAGGTGACACATGGCCTGGTGGGGCTCAGCGAGGGCACACGGATTTCCCAGCCAGCAAACAAACAAGCCCTGGTCACAGCAGCGGTCACAGCTGGCACATGGCCGCTCACAGACATTCTGGGCATGCAGTCCCGTGACTTAGAAAAGAGGAGGCCTTTGGAGCCTGCCAGGGCTGTCTGCTGATTGCGAGGTATCTGGAACCTGGGGCCCCCCAGCCCCGACTCCCCAGCACGGCTCCCCGCAGGGGCCAGCTGCCCTTGGTCCTGCCCAGCCATAGTCATCGGCTTTCTCCCAAGGCTTTTGTAAAGCCACCCTGTCTGTCAACCCCGTCCTCGAATCTGCCCCTTACTGTTCCTCAGATTTAAACATATACCCCTTCAGTGGGAGCTTTGAAACAAGTAGCCCTGGGTTCAAATCCAACCTACCCATTTATTAGTGGGGTGACCTTAAGTCAGTCTCTTCATCGTTCTGAATCCTGGATTTCCTTCAGCAAAATAGGGCTAAGGGTACCCCACCTTCCTGGCACTTGCCAGGTGCTGAATAAACTTTTGTTGTACGAATGAATGAAAGAGCAAATGAATGGATGTAGAAATGAATGGATGATTCTGACTTCCAGCTATGCCCATTCTCCACCCCACCCCCCACTCTACCTGGGCACAGAGGTACCCCCTGGGGGTCTAGCTCAGTGGAGAGCACACACTACCCTGATCACGGAAGACTTGCATTTGTGATTTAGCCTAGTAACTTTCTTGACCTGTGGACTCGGCTAAGGTGCTTCCCTCTCTAAGTTTCCTCCATTTCCCCATCAGTCAAATGCAAGTGTTAACCCCTGCCTTGCCTCCATTGCCAAGTTCTGGCAAGGCCCAAATGAGAGCAAAGATGACAATGCCCTGTGACCTGGAAGGGACTGGCCACACACACCACGGCTTCTTCTCACATGGGCTACTCAAGTGTCAGAGCCAAGGTGAGAGTCCAGGCCCCTCCTGGTGCCAGGAGGCTGAGCTGACGTGCTTCCTGACTTGCTGCCAGGCAGGACGCTCTCCTGCCAGCATCGTCATTCCTTTGCACATAGGTATTTTGTCTGTGCACGGAGGCCCTTGCTCTTTTGAGAGAGGCATAAAGAGAAGAGTCAGCAGAAAACCTGCAGAGGTTGGCAAATGTGCTCGAGCCATCAGCAAGTCCAGGGTCCTGTGTGTTGGACAGAATAGGAAAGTTCAGCTCGAATCTGGGAAAAACAAGACAGTGGATGTTGACTGTCTCTCTGGCTTGAAACTAGTTATTCTGGGTCCCACATTGAATACAAGTCACCCTGGGGTTCACCTTTGGCTTCCACTTTGGGATTACTGGTGCTAGCCAATACCCCATGGCAGAGGCTGAGGCATTAGACCACATTTCTGCCCTCTTCGCAGCGATATGTGAGAATAAAGTGCCTCTGCTCGTTGTGTCCTCCCTTCTCTTGCAAACCAATCTTTGATATCCAGATTATACCTAATTTTAAGTAAATGTCATTTACTGTGTATAGTTAAGGCATACAACATGATGTTATGGGATACATGTGGATAGCAAAAAGGTTGCTATAGTGAAATAAATTAACACACCATCATCTCACAGTTACCTCCTGCTTTTTTTTTTGTTTTTGTAGCAAGTGCAGCTAAAATCTACTCATTTAACACGAATCCCAAATACACTGCATTTTTTTTTTTTTTACCTGTGGTCCTCAAGTTGACATTCTATCTCTAGACTTGCTCTGTTATACCTCTTCTATTGACTTCATTGTTCATTAGCTTTCTAGACTTGTTTTTGAGTCTACCTCAAATTATACCTATTCTTAAAGATCTTGAACAAATGCCACCTCTCTCAAAAAAGGCTTCCCTACTATTGTCAAGCTACAAGTCAACATTTTCTCTCTAATCTCCTAGGGCAGTCTCTAAACACAACACACTGCCTTTCATTACGTAAGTCATGACCAATAGACTTACTGAGAATTAAGTTATGTGCTAGCCACTGCAAGAGAGAATGTATTTCATATGCCCTCTCTCAATTAATCCTCAGAGCAACCTGACAAAATAGCTACTGTCATTTTTTCCCCATTTTACAGATGAAGAAACAGCATGATAGGGGTCACAAAGTGAGGAAGTAGCAGAGCTGAGATCTGAACCCAGGTTGTCTAGCCCCAGCTAACACTTCTCCACTAACACTGCCCAACAGAACGTTCTGTGATGACAGAAGTGCTTTAGATCGTTCTGCCTGGAATGGTAGACACTACCCTATGCAAATACAGCGTACTTGAAATGTGGTTAGTGCAACCCCAGGACTGGATTTTAAATTGTGTTTAATTTTAACAGATTCGAACAGTCACATGTGGCTAGGGATTACCTTAGTGGACAGTACACCTCTTACCCACTCGGCCACATACAATGCGACAGCTACCTATCTGTACTCAGCTCATGTCACCCAATGTAAACCTTGAGTCCTTTGAGAAGACAGAGCCCTGTCTTCCCTCAGAGCCCATGGCAGACACTCAACATATATGTTTGTACTGAACTCTGTTTGCCTGTGGTCCCCACGAGACCTGAGGGACTCACCTCGCTCATGAGGCTGCTGTGTGAATTGGAAAATTCCTCAGGCACCTTATCTAGAAAACGGGGGACACGAAGTTCAGCTCTCAACGGGATGTATTCTGCCCGGTAAGGTCTTACCTGTGCGGAGAGTCGGGATCGAAGCACGTCTTAGTGACGTCGGTGATTTCGGGATCACAGCACTCTCCGCCGTCAAAGTTGAAGCGTTCGTAGTTGCAGTCCATGTCGCACACCCCGTTCTGCTGCTTCTTCATGAAGGCGGGGTGGCGCAGGTGGCGGCAGTCGCCGCCATCGTGGCCGGTCAGCGTGTGGTTGCACTCGGGGTCGCAGTTCTCGTCCCCGATCTTGCTGATGTCGCAGTTGGCCAGGATGAGGCGGTGGCGCAGGGAGGAGTTGCTCACCTCCAGCACCTCCAGTTCCCAGGAGATGTTGTAGTGCTTGAAGGCCTCAGCCAGCTGCCGGTGCTGGAAGTCCACCTGCTGGCGGCTCACCGTGGGGTTCTCGTGGCTGTCGTCGTAGAGGTTGACCACGCGGTAGCGCACCGCCTTGGGCCTGCGGAAGCTTGGGAGCTGGTTGTAGCTGGCGATGACCTCCGTGTTGTCACACAGCGTCTGCCCACACAGAGGGGGCTCCAAACTCGTGTCCAGCAGAAAGCCATGGGCGGTGCTGGATTCTACTCGGGGGCTGTTGCCGTCCTTCATGGGGGACCAGGTCCGCTTCACATTGTCCCAGTTCTCCTGGAGGAGGAGCTGAGGTAGAGGAGGGTGGAGGCCGTGGGTGTCCATGTCGGACAGTATCTCGCGCTGAGTCCTGGCCACCTTCCACAGACTGAAGCGCTCGATGTAGCCCCGGTAGTTGTGATTCAGAGCGCTGCCCCCCAGCATGAGCACTTTGCACTTCTGGGTCAGCGGGCTGAAGATGCCACCCACTTGCTCCCCAGAGGTTGCCACCTGGGCACCATTCACATAGAGCTTCATGAAGTGCCCATCGTAGGTGGCAGCTAGGTATACCCACTGGCCTGGGAGGTAGCTGCGGTGGGCATTGATGGTGGTCACTTGCCGGGCCCGGTCCGTCTTCAAGGAGAAAAAGTAGCGTGGGTCTCTGTTGCCTTGGTCACCGACGGTGTGAATGCCCACGACCCATCCTCGGTCACGCGAGGTATAAGAACATTTGTCATACAGCCCTATGTGGCCCCAAAAGAGAAAGATGAATAAGTAAAGGATGGAAGAAGAGGAGGGCGTGTCATTTCTCTCTGATAAAAGTCATATCAGGATGTCCTGGACTAGTGGCTTGCAAAGTGGTCCGTGAGACCCTGGCAGTCACTAATGGTGCCTCTGGGACCACCCCGAGGCCAAGGCGAGGGCTGGAGGAGCTGAGAGGGTGGGCACGCTGGGTGTGGGACGTTCTCACCACAACTTTAACCCATGCTATTCCACTTTTACTGGTTTTGAGTATGAAGCCTACAAGAAAGATTTTTGTTTGAAGAATGGGTACTTCACCTAAAGAAAACGCCACCACGATAGCAATAATAATGAAAACATGAAAACCATGGTTTTGCATGGGGAAGATGACTTTCTAATGAAGAGGGAATTTTCGGTGTAGGATGATGTATGAGGTGAGAGGAGAGACAGAGGCAAATGATAATGGATAGAAGATGATCCTTTACAAAGGCATCCCCTGCTATACAGTGTGCATCTGCCTTCAGCCGTCACCAAATGACCCGTGGGGTTGCGCTGTCGGGAAAGTTGGCCTGAAAAGTAACGGACCAGAGCTGAAATGCCGGAGCTTCTTTCTCTAATAGGAGTCTTGGCTAGCCTTGTCCTCAAAGAAAGGAAACACACTTGATAGCCAAGCGGGAAAGACTTTTATAGATTGTATCCTCCAACCCCTTTGCTTAAAAGGCGAGGGAGTTGGGACCCACAGAATGGGAGGAGCCATTTGTCTGGTTACACCGAGTCATTGACAAACTTCCTGAGACCCAATTCAGCTTGCTCCTCCCCAACACTAATGCCTATATGTATAAAATGAGTGCTCTCTTAACATGGAAAGATATTGGGGACGCCTACATAAGAGTTGACAATAATGAACAAAATCCCCCAAGCCTCTATGGCAGGCCAGGCATCGTGCTAAGGTCTGTATATGCACTAGTTAATTTAATCCATGTAACACTCCTACAGTGCTAATACTAAGTTTCTCATTTAACCAATGAGGACATGGGAATTAAAGGAGAAGAGGCAGGTTCAAGGTTAGCTAGTTGGTAAGTGGATCCTAGATCCATCAAACCCCAGGATTCACTGTCCCTGTGCACTAATTCTAGGGCACCTCCCCTGCCTCACTAATGTCCCCAGGGATCTGAGCCACACCCCCTCTACCTGGGGCATGTCACAAGCTTTAGTTCGATATTTGGGGGAAGTTCCAAGCCAGGCATCTCTAGACTTACTCTGGGAATCCCAGGAAGTAGCTTAGTGGATTCTCTCTGGATCTAATTATTTTTATACTCACCAACCCCAGCCTTTCTGGAACGTGCCCAGTGTCCTTGGCACAGATGCAGCTGTTGAATGGGGAAGAGGACTTTCTAATTAAGAGTGCATTTTAAGTTTTAGCTGATGTATGAGGCCAGGTGCGAGGAGAAAGAGAGGGAATAAAAGATGCTCATTTAGAAGGACGGTGCCTACTCTCAGCTGGAGAATCGTCGCGGTCACCATAACTCTGAGCGTGCACCTGCCGTGAGCGCTCGGCAAATGAGCACAAAGAGCTTCCAGCAAAGCCAGTGGAGGAGGCCCACACTGTCCTCACTCCTGTGTGGGCACTGGGACCTTAGCATTCGTGTAAATCTCTCTGTTAGCTGCTGACGTGGCCAGCAGTATTGGCCGGGCATCTAGGCCCACCTACACGTCTCCTCCCACTCCCCACCCCAAAGTCTTTCAGGTGATGGGCAGAGTCTCCTTACAGAGTCATCCTGCTCTTACAGTCAGGGAGACCTTGCAAAAGCAACAAGTTCCTCCTCTGGGTCTCGGTTCCTCATCTGGCAAAGGAGAGGATGGAATGAAATTCCCCGTCACACACAAGGTCAGTCTGATTTTCTTTACTCCAGATTTCCCAATGACTGACACATAAGACACCTCTTCCAAGAAGCTCTCCGTGATTGCCCTGTGAGTAGTCATCATTCTCTGCTCTGAACTCACTTCACTTTTAGGAAACTTGACAGTCATTCTCTGGTTTCAGAGTTGCCGGCATCCTCTCTGTTCCCTCCTCTCTGCTAGACCGTTTGCTTCTTGAGAGCAATGACTGTGTCTGGGTCATCTCGGTAACCTGCCCAGCATCTTGCCATAGCAGGCACAGGAATGATTCTAAACAGAGCAGGAGAGGCAAAAAGGCAGGGATTTGAAGAGCAAACAGAATCAAAGGCACTAATTTATATCTCTGTGGCTAAAGGACAGAGAGAATGGGAGGACGGAATGGGTTCTTGACAGAGTAGAAAGCAGGATCTTTGGACTCAGGGTAATCTGCTTTGGATCCTGACGACAACAATTACTAGCTGTACTTCTGGGGCAAAATGGCTTGATTCCTTCTTCTGTATCTGCCTTTAAATATGTTGTCATACTTAAAAGACATAGCGGACATAGCATCTTCAGCATACCATGGCTGTCCAAATGAGAGTTCATGTTTAAGATGCTAGACGGCTTAGGAGAGATGTCAAAGATGAAAAAAAAAAAAAATAGGAAATGACTGGAAACAAAAGCCAGAAAGGCCTGAAGGAGGGACAGAGGGGGGACCCTGAAGACATATTGCCTGATGTATCAAGGGCTAGCAGGATGAAGGCTTGAAAAAGCCCAAGTCCTCCTCAAACCCACTGGCAAGCCCTACTTAGACATCATAGGTCGCTGTCAGCTTAGATGATGTCAGGAGACTACATATTAAAAGCTGCCTTGCTACTGACTCCCTCCAGAGCCCAAGATCTGACTCTGAATTTGGAGTGGGTTGCCCCAGATCCACGTGCTGCTGTCCACTACGGGAACCAACTAGAATTACAGTTCCTAGAGTCACCACATACATGCCCCCCCCCCCGCCCCACTTCCTAGCTCACCTCTTCTCCCTCCCCCAGCTTAGCCCCTTCCCTCATAAAAAGAAAATGAAGGGTCTTCTAATGAGAGAATTAAAATCTGAAACAGGATCCTTTTCCCCTCTCTCTTTTTTTTCTCTCTCTCCCTGCAGGTTTTTATTTTGCCAGGGGCTCCCAGTCCCTGGTTTTCCTGTTGCCTTTGGAAGGCGGCTGGCCTGGTTAGCAAGGTAAAATGTTTACACATCTGTAGGGTGCCCTCAGTTCAGAACCTTCCGGGGGCTTGGGACCCGATCTCAGGCCACCTCTGTTTGCAATTGAGAGAGAAGGGGGAAGAAGTGAGAAAAGGCAGATTCCGCAACACAGAGCTCAGCAATGAGGGGTGGCTTAGCCCCAGGAAACAGAGAGGAAGGGCAAAGAGAGGGTTTTCAGTGGAACCAAGAGGAAACACATTAAGGGAAATGAGAACCTTGAAGCAGTGGCTTTAGAAGTTCAGAGGGAAATATTTACCTGGGGTGTAAGTGGCGAAAGAAAATCACTGAGCTTCAGTAGGGATGGGGGTGTAGAGTGGTGATGGGGAGTTATTTCTGTATGAAAATAGCTCGCTCAACAGCAGTCACATTTTGGGGGTCTGGGAGGAAAGCACTCTTGTACTACCAGCCCAGAACCAGGGCTTGGGCACCAGAGATCTGGGTTCAGTTACCTGAACCTGAACCTGTCTGGGTTCAGTTACCTGTCCCAGGTAACCTTGCCTGGAACAAGTCATACCATCCTCTTCATGCTGTGGAGCCTCATGTCCCTTCTCTGTAAAAGGAGGGGTCTGACTAAAATGATCCCCTGCTAGAATTTAAGAGCTCTTTTGTTCACTGTTAGAATGCTTCCTTGTAAGTAGAAGGTTCTCAAAAGTAGGTGTTGATTTGAATTGGATGCCTTACGGCATTCCCAGTGCTCGCAATTCTTAGCTTCCCTCTCCTCCACGTATCTCCATGCAGGACACAGAACAATGTTCTCTGGAGGACACCAGAGCACTCTGCATCTCTCCACACATCCCCTCCCCACACTTCTCCAGGAAAACAGAGATGTAGTGAAAAATACAGCACAAGTCAGTCTGAAGTCAGCACCATCTGTGTGGAACGAGAGGATGCTCCCAGAGGATATATTCCCACGTGGCAAGACGGAAGGTCACACACAATTCTGCATGCAATCTACATATAATTAGCATATACCTGCCTCAATGATATAAGCACATAGAACCAGACAAGGAAAATGTGCAAGAGCCCTTTTTCAGATAAGACTGGGTGCACTCAGAGTGGTATGGCTGTAGACAAGAATCCTTTTCCAGACCAATAACACATCCTGGCACATTGCACGGAGGGGGAGGTCAAAGCCCAGACCAGGAAAGGGACTTGTCATGGGCTTCCTGTTAAGGAATGGGCCACTCAAACCCAGGTCACCTGGCCGTTCTAATGCACCCCTATCCTCTTGCAGCTATACTTGATGTGAAAAGGGGTTCCTATGTTCCCAGAGACTTGCCATTTATTTATTTTTATTGCCTCTTTTTCTTCTCATCTACCCACTCAACCTCACCCCAGACAGCAAGAACATCTACGAAGGAGAAAAGCCCAAAGGCAGAAAGCATGCAGGGGGTTTGCCAGAACCTGGACCCGGAATGTACAGAGTATGGGAGAATACTCTGGGCTTTGAGAGCATCCTCTAAGGATTACTAGTTTAGACACTAACCAGGGCAGTTTTGTCTGACCATCCCCGGCACCAACAAACCTTCCTCCCATGTATTCATCCTATTCTGTCCTACCCTAAAACTCATCACTAAAGTACTTACTCGACGTCTCTGTTTCCCAGTGTCTCTTTGCTTCGTGTATACGCGCCCAACCTCCAACACAGAGCTGGGTCTGCTGTAGGTGCTCCCTAGAGTTTGTCATTGAAAGTGAAAAATAAGGAAAGACAGAAAGGGAGGGGGGATACCTCCTTATTTCTGCCTTCTCTACAAGAATGTGTTACCCTTTATCCAGAACTCACTAAGTGCCGAGTGCTCTGCATTAATTCTCTCACTTAATCTTCACAACAAAGCTATCAGCACTGTCCACTCTTCAGTGTAAACTGAG